TCTGACGCATCTGCTGCAATTTCCAGGTTTTCGTCCCCTCAGGGAATTTTAAAACAGGGGCATTAATAAGCGCTTCTTTTAATCTTCAAAAGCTGTGTTAGCTTCCGCTGTCCACGTAAATTTAGCTCTTTTTTCTTTTGATTACTAAGAGTGGTTCAACAATATTAGCGAAATCTTTTATGAAAAGATCGATAGTAAGAACATAATCCAAAGAAAGAAGAAAGTTTCTTCGCGGTGTTGGGCGGTGGGGAAATTCTTAATAGCTTTTATTTTTGAATCTTGCGTTTCTATACACCTTTTGCGAAATTTTATAACCGAGATATTTAAGTTCTTTAGTTGCGAACTTGCATTTTGAGGCGTTTAATTGTAAGACCGGCCTCTTTTAATAATTTAAAAACTTGTTCTAATCATTAATTGTTGTTCCAACGTACTACTCGTTATACTTATATCATCTAGATAAATTAAAGTTGATTTTCCTAGGACAGGCTTTAGAACAATGTCCATAGCTCTCTGGAATGTTTGGGGGGCCCACACAACCCAAAAGGCATGCGTAAAAATGCATAAGTGCCGATTTGTTATAAACGCGGTTTTATGTATATCTTCGGGTCTCATAGCTATTTGATAGTAGCCAGACGTTAAGTCCAAAGTAGACATATATCTTGTCGATTTGATCTGTCTAATGATCTCGTCTATATATAACCGGCAAAGGGTAAACTGGAAATTTGGTAATACTATTTAGTTTTCTGTAATCAATAGCAAACCTCCAAGCCCTTTTATCCGAAGGAGGAAACTCGTTCTTTTTCCTACATAGTACGACTGGACTCGCGTACTCACTATTTATGGGCGTTATTATTTTATTCTTTAACATCTCCTGAATATGTTCCTCGATGATTACATCTTTTTGTTTGTCATAGCGATAAGGTTTAGTCCTACAAGGTTTTTCGGCATTTAATTGAATCTTATGCGTTACTATTTGGCAGTTTCCTGGTTTTTCTGAAAACAAATGAGAAAAATTACTCACCACTTGCTGTATTTGCTTTACTTTCATGGTATTCAGATGGCTAAGGTCCATTGCGGTGTCCACAGGTTCCACCACCCCCCTCTGTTCCATCTCCAACACCACGGAACTATCTTCAAAATTTAATTTGGCCTCACGGCCCTTAAAAATCCATACCTAAAATAAGAGATGTTGCAGGTCTTTCACCCAAAAATTAATACTTTGAGACTTTCCTCTTTTACCTGTAAGTTTAATGATAATTTCCCGATGCAGTGACATGTTTTCCTTGCGCCGCTATAATTTCCGTATTTTTGGTTTTAAATAATCGTACCCTATAAAAATTCTTTTTGAAGAAATTTCACTCATAAAATTTCCTTCTGCTCCTGTATCGATGAGGGCTTCTACTGGTACATCGCCAACCAGGACTTGGATAACTGGTAACTGTGAGTTCTTTACGACGACCGTTGTTTAGGTATCTTCTTGAGGGTTTTTGCGAAACTTCCGGTGTCTGGACCCTCCCTTTCACAGGCCCCTCTATTCGTTTAAAGCTTTCCTTTCAATCTGTGTCTTTTGGGTACGCGGACGGTTTATTTTCGAAATTTTCGTTTTGGGCCTTGAACCTTCGAGCTTCGATGAGTTAGGCTTGATAGCGTTTTCCCCCATAAGAACGAAATTGTGTTACCGGTCTGTTGATTTGAGAATTGTCTTCTGGGACTTTCAGAATACGATGCCCCTCTAGATTTTTCCGCTATTCGTCGGTTTTGGAACTTCACCGCCAAATCGAAGAGTTCTTGCAAGGTGCTTGGATTTCGGATTTCCAAGTAGTCTTGAACAGCGGGTAACAATCTTGGTAATATTATTTCAATAATCTCCGCATCGGGTTTTCTTTCCATACAGCATATCCGTTAGCTTGATTTTTCGTAGAATAAAGTCCGTCATTCTGCTGTATCCCGTTGATAGAAACTATATAGTCGGCTTCCAGCCGTGCGCGATCTTTCACTATGGGGAAGGCCTTACTAACGATTTTTTGAAATATATGTCTGGCTTCCAAATTCCCTAAAAATTTGCCTATGTTTTTCCACCATAGCGCGGCCTGTCCTCTTTAGTGTGATGTGGCGATGGCAACTTTTTGTCTTTCAGGCACAGGGTAGAGCTGAAAGTGTTTTCCAGACCTTCTAGAAATACCGCCACCGAATTTTTTCCGTCGAAATGGACGTTTGGCTGATTGATGCTCTCAAAGTCTGGACCAGGTATCCAAATCCTTCTAACTGGCTTGTCATTTCTTGGTGTTGTCCAGCGGCTTCCATCCAATTTCGGCCATTTCATTCGATAAGTGTTCGGGCGACAATGTAACGTTGCGCGCCTCCAACCTGCACGCAACCAAGATGTGACTGTTAAAACTGGAAAATAGACAGAGACTTGCTAAAGGGTTTAAGTCCCTTTTTTTTCAACTTAAAAAGTTACAATTGCGTGCTCTTGACGCTCACAAACGGCAACCAACTCGGCGGTCAAATAAAAATAATAACCTGAAAGAACTAAATTCAAGGACTCCAACTACGAGGCTCTCTAAAATAACTAACTCACACCGCGTTTTACAAACACCGCTGCTAATTCAGCACTGAAGCTCGCTTGAACATAACACTACTTCCCGCCAGCACATAGGCCGAAACGCGGGGTTTCTTCAATTTCTCGCTAACTACCTCCGCGCTCGTGAAGTAAAATATCAACACCGAACTTGTTTCCTTCTATTTAAATCAGAATACTTCCGCTGATAATTTGAATGCTTGCGCGTTCTACTAAAATTTACATATTCTGGCATTGGCAGTTCCAGGGGAAAGTAAGGCTTGACAGGAAAGATAGTTTAAACTTAAAATAAATGTTAGTTAAAATAAATATAAACCCTACAAGATGAAAAATTTGTTTAAGTCAACGCAAGGCCATATTTAAAAAAAATCGTTTTTTGATTGCGTTTTCTTTATCTGAATCATTATTTTCGACTATAAATTTTAGGAAATCATAATACAGATCTTGAATGACAGGAATATTTCGATGAATGTTTAAGCTGAGGAACAGAATTCTGTTCCTCAAATTATATATATCCTGCATGAGTTTCTGAAAGAACTTCTTAATTTTTAACACAGAATGCTTAGTAAAGCATGAAATGAAGATGAAAGCTTAACGTTAATTCTAATTTCTGACATCGACCATAAAAAGTGCGCTATATTGAATAAAGTTTTTTTTTTTCTTTTTCTTTTCTTTCTTTTTTTTTTTTTTTTCTAAATCCTCATTTTCGAATATCAACTTTAAGAAATCATGATACAGATCTCGAATAACTAAGGAATATTTTGATGACTGTGGAAGGTAAGAACACTATTCTGAATCTCAAATTATCCTGCCTGAAGAGTATCCTGTCTGACTTTCTGAAGAATAAAAATGACGTCTACATAACAAACATTTAATTTAACTATGAAGACGTTGAACAGCAGAGTAGAAACATAATATTACACAGCGCTTTGCACTTCTCTCTTACATGCAATACTCACCATTGACTTTGGCTAACTACATGTAACTAAATATAAGTATTACGCGGCAGAGAACTTGCTTATCACGCGCATGCGCTAGGGAAATCGACGGCGGTTGCCAACATACCCCCTTTCGACGTTGATTCTCCCATTCCTGAAAAGTAAAACAAAATACATACGAGGGCTATCCAGAAAGTAGATTACGTTTTGGAATAAAAAAATAAACAAAGTATAGGAAACAAATTTTATTATATACATCAGAAAGCATGGCTCAAAATACTACTTTTCTACATAGTCACCATAACAAATTGAGGCACTTATCGTAGCGATGTACGAGCTTGGAAAGTCCTTCGTCGAAAAATTCGCGCTGCGCCTTCACCACTTCGTACCTCTTCTTGCACTGTGCGTCGTCATCAAAACGCTGCAATAGCCAGCCACTTCTTCATTGCTGGGAATAGGTGGAAGTCGCTCGGTGCAGGTCGGGACTGTACGGCGGATGAGGAAACAACTCCCACTTAAAAGATTCAAGAACTTTACGAGTGACATTTGCCGTGTGGGGCCGGGCGTTGTCGTGAACAACAAGATCTTAGAGCTCAACATTCCTCTGCGCTTGTTTTGAATTGCTCTTCTGAGTTTTTGGAGAGTTTGGCAACCTTGAGAGTTTATTGTAGTGCCTCTTTCCAGGAAGTCCACCAAAATTACACCTTTTCTGTCCCAAAAAACAGTCGCCATCATCTTCCTTGCCGACATTGTTTGCATGCATTTCTTGGGTTTTTGGGGAGAAACTGTGTGCCCCCACTGCAATTGATTGCAATTTCGTTTCACAGTTCACATGTTTTCACCCATGTTTCGTCACCAGTACGATGCGATCGAGTAAAGAGTCACCATCCTTATGGTAAGCGTCCAAAAAGTTCAAAACGCTGCAGCCATTCGCTGATTTTTGTGGTCCTCTGTCAGATTTTTGGAATCCATCTTGCACAAAACTTGTGGTAACCAAGCTTTTCGCTGATGATTTCGTGCAACAAACTTCGCGAAATTTGTGGAAAACTCAAAGAAAGTTCCGTTATTGTGAAATTTCGATTTTCACGGACTTTAGCATCGACTTTTTCGAGAAGTTCGGGCGGTCACTATGCTGGGTCTCCCACTTCGATCTTCGTCGTGAACATTGGTTTCGGCCATTTTGAAATCTTATACCCCTGACGCACTCCACTTCAGTGATAATGTTGTCCCCATACACTTCACGAAGCTGCCGAAGATTTCTATCGGTTTACAGTTTTTTGCAGTCAGAAACCTTATTACGAGCGCCCTCGCAGCTCGCGGGATTTTCAATTAACGCAGACATTTCAAACCGTCACAATATCTGAACGGAGCACAGCAACGAACCTCTCACTAGCACGGCTAGATGCAGACTGAGCTGCGCAACGCTCTGACCCAAGATGGCCGCGCTAGCCCCCCCCTTTCGACACAGTTGAAACGTTTTCCTATTCCTGAAAAGTAAAACAAAAACAAAATACATATTAAACAGTATTCAGTCCTATAATTGTACAACAGTTTCGATGTTTAACTGGAGTCAGGAGTTTGGTTAACACATCAGCTCTCATTTCACTGGTAGTTATGTACTGCACATCCAATTCACCACGTTCACATACTTCATGCACAAAATGATGGCAAATACCTATGTGCTTTGTACGGGAGTGAAACACTGAGTTCTTGGTAATTTTCTGAGCTCCTTGATTGTCGCAGTATATTGTTGTTGGGTTTTCTGTGTTGTAACTCAGTTCTTTCAGGAAATGACATAGGTAGACGGTTTCTTTGGCGGCCTCAGACAGAGCCTATATTCCGTCCGTGAAGATAGAGCTAGCGTTGTTTTCATGATTCCCAGGTTATGGCTGAACCACTTAATATATATAAAAAACCTGTGTAGGATTTTCTATCATCGACATTTGATGCCTAATCTGCATCCACAAAGGTGATGAGTGGTTTTCCTGTTTTCGTATAAATTACTCCTTGATCTTGGTTCCCTTTAGAATCGAAGTATTCTTTTCGCGCATGCAATGTTCTTTTCCGGGATTTTGTTAAATTGACTTAAGAATTCACAGCGTATGTGATATCTGGCCTAGTAGCTACTGAAAGGTACATTAATGATCCGATCAGATTTCTAAATGGAACATTCTTTCAGCGATTTCGTTTTTAGGACTCATCTCTTTTGATAATTTTTTGCTATTATAGGTGAAGACACCGTTTTAGCATTTTGCATATTATACCGAATTAAAATATCATCAATGTATTTCTTTTGAGAAATTTTAATTGAATTCTCATTTTGTGAAATTCTATGCTAAGCAATTGTAACTTCCCCAAGTCTTTCATTTGAAAGCAGAAGCCAAACTATTGCAATTGTTTCATACGTTTGCTAGAACGGTAAAAAACGATAAGATCTCTACATAAACGGTTATAATAGTTTCACTGTTAGGCGTATTTTTAATATAAACACAATTATCTGAATTAAGAGATTTAAATTTCATAGATTTCAATTTTCATCCACTTTTTGTACCACTGACGTCCTTACTGTTTAAGACCGTATAATGATCTCTTTAAAAGACACACTTTATCTGAATAGTTTCAATCGCGCGAAACTTCGGGAATTTCCATGTATATTTCTTCCTCTAAATTTCCATTACATAGGCCATTACAAATCTAATTGGTAACCTTTGAGATTGTGTTCTACTGCGTAGGCTAAAACTGTTCTTATGGAACTTAATTAGCAACAGGGAAAAGTTTTCAGTGAAATCGAGACCAGGGATTTGAGGCGCCCTTTTAGCCCTAGCCTAGCCTTGTATTTTTCTATAGTACCGTCGTGATTATTTTTAATTTAGAACCCATTTACACCAATAACTTTCTTGTTTTCAGTCTTTTTACTAATTCCCAAGCTTTTCTTGACAAGCGAGTTATATTCTAACAGCATGGCATTATGCCAATTTTCAGTATATGGTCCCATTTAATGCTTCTTGCACTGTAGGATTAATGTTTTTCACAACAACATTTTGAGTTTGTTCATTTTTATTTACAACTGTATAACGATATTCTTTTTTAGGCCTTCCTGGCAAACCTGTTTTTATTTTCTTGGGTCCGACCAGCCCTCTTTTAATCAGGATAGGAAGCGTTCATTCGCTGTCTAAATCAGTTTCGCTTTCCTTTTCAGATTCAGAGTCAAGTGGCGACTCGCTACCATCCAGAGGTGATGATTGATCACAACATGTTGTATTTGTAATTTTTTCGTTTGGAGCGAAAAGGCAGATTTATTTCTTGCTCTGAGTCATAACTCAGCATTTTTCAAATTCATCAATAAATTTTACGTCTCTGCTTATTATCACTTTACATGCCCGGGATCCAAAGTCTACGCTTTTGATTCATCAGAATAGCCAATAAAATACATTCTTTAGATCGAAATCAAATTTGCCTATTTTTGGCCTTTTATTTAGCGAAAATGCTTTTTTGGCCAAAGGTTCTGAAGTGAGAGACAGCAGGTACTCTGCCAAACATCACTTCGTAAGGTGTTTTTATTTTGTTTTTAAACCTCGCCGTTGGGCAGCGATTTCGAATGTAAGCAGCCGTATTGACGGCTTCGTCCCAGAATTTCTGAGGCAGATTGGATTGCAATAACAAACATCACGCCATTGAAACTAAAGTGCAATTTAATCTTTCTGGCGACGCCATTCTGGGCTGGCGTGTAAGGAGTGCTCATTTTGTGTTTTATTCTCGCATCATTAAGAAATTTATTAAAGTCTTTCCCTAAATATTCTAGCCCGTTATCCGGTTCGCAGGATTCTGATTTTAGAGTTAAGTTTATTTTCAAAAGATGCTTTAAAATTTCTGAAAGCTTCTTTAACCTCATCCTTAGATTTCAGAAAATGAACAGGAACATATCGAGATTTATCATCGATAAATGTTGCGAAATAAAATGATCTACCTATTGATTCGATTCTCATGGGACCACACAAATCAGAATGAATTAGATTTAACAATTCAGTACTTCTACGTATTTCAGATTCCTTTGGGAAGGGGGTTGCGGTTTGTTTACCCTTGAATGGCATACCTTACAAGTAGAAAGAGAGTCATTTTGAGAAAAAGAAAAGACCTCTTAACCATGTTATTTAATTTGAAGTTTTTTAAGATCATTTTCATTTAAATGGCCAAATCTTATATGGCCACTGATCTATTTCTTTAGCAATTGATACAGATTCAAATATTGGCATGACAAAATAAAGATCATTTTCGCGTTTAGCTAAAATTACTGTTTCGTTATTAGAATTAATTATTTGAGCATATTTTTCTTTGAAAATTACTGAAAGATTATTTTCAGTTACTTTAGACACTGAGATTAATTCAAATTCAGGTACACACAATACATTTTTTGAGTTTGATATTTTCAGTTTTAGAACCTATGCAAACTTTAAATTTAACAGTTCCTTTTCCAATAGCTTTAACAGTTTTATCAGCAGCTAATTTAACATAAGTGTCACCTACCTCGTGAATTTCTTGAAACAGTTCCTTGCTGTTACACATATGCGATGTTGCACCACTATCCAGACAAAAAATGTCTTTAGAATTACTATTAGTGCATGCTACGGCTTTTTCTTGCTCCAGGGAATTCTGATATTCTGCAGACATCGCAGTTTCACTAAGGTATTTGCTTTTAGTTTCTTTACTTTTCTTCCTACATTCCGATGCTCTATGCCCATAGATATGGCAGAAGTTGCATTTGTAGTTAACTGGATACTGTCTTCGGTTTGCAGACTTATCTGGTTTCGGTTTTGGAACCGGTCTTTGAGTATACTTCCGATCTTTTGAATAGAACGCATGTTGTTGTTCAGAAAACGATGAATCTTTATTTTTGCGAGCGTTAGCTTCTTCCAACAGTTTAATTTTCAGCATTTCTGGAGAAGGCAGTTCATCATGAGATTCGATTGCTATTCGAAAGCTTTCATAAGAGTCCGGTATGCTATATAAAAGCAATATTGTAAGCAAATCACCCGCAATGTTTATTTCCATTTCTTTCAATTTGTCCGCAAGAATGAAAAAATCATTTAGATGATCAGTCATTTGTTTAGAATTACTCATTTTTGTAAAAATCAATTTTTTTAGAATTGTGTCCTTTCTAAGCTGGTCCCTTCGATTCGTAAATAGAATGCAATTTACTCCACAGTTCGTGAGATATTACACAATACTTTACTTGTGGAAGTTCACTGGTGATAAGATGGATAGGATTATATCCACTCGTGCTTTATGGTCAGTAGTTTTTCCATTTAGCAAATTCTTCATCACACCAGGTTCTGGTTTCGGAAATTTTCCCAGTTACATAAGTCCCAATGATCATTTTTAATCAGTATTGCTTCCATTTGCAACTTTCCACGTGTCAAAGTTGTCCTTGTTTAGCTTTTCAATTGAAACTGTATTTGTCCTCGTCATTTTGATTTCAGGTCGACGCAGCTTGGCTTGCCGAAAGAATTTAACAATGGTGGTTGCACTGCACAGTTAAGCGCTATCTGGGCCCATAACCTATGAAGAATAAAAATGACGTCTTCATAATCACATTTATTTTAAGTATGAAGACTTTGAACAGCAGAGTAGAAACATAATTACACAGCGCTTTGCACTTCTCTCTTACATGCAATACTCACCATTTACTTTTGGCTAACTACCTAGAACTAATATAAGTATTAAGCAGCAGAGAACTTGCTATCACGCGCATGCGCTAGGGAAATCGACGGCGGTTGCCAACATACCCCCTTTCGACGTTGATTCTCCCATTCCTGAAAAGTAAAACAAAATACATATTAAACAGTATTCAATCCTACTCAGGAATAATGAAGGTGGAGAAATGTTTAGTTTCTAAGGCATGAAATGAAGATAAAAGCTTAGCGGTAATCCGTGTTGGTCCTTAACATCATAAAGAAAGACGATCCTGCTTCTTAAAGGTACAATATCAGTTTTTCTGGTGTTTAAGGATTTGGAAAGTAGAAGATTAGGTGGAGAAAGACCGGAACAGTAAAGTCTATACTGTTTTATCACAGGGCTATTTTGGATGTAGTGGACCAAAAGTGGTGAATACAGGGGCGACTAAAGGAACAAAATTAGCACAAAATGAAACAGCAAGAATGAGCAACACTGGCGAGATTAAATGTAAAGACTAGATGTTTAAACGACCCCATGGACTTGCAGAGTTTGCCAAATGGTTCAGTAAAATGTAACTCACAGAAAAGTAATATAACAGAATTTTTGCATAAAAAAAGCTGAAATCTTCATTATTAATTTAAAATAAGATAATTATTAATTTAATCAAACTCTTTATTAAATAATGCAATATATGCTGTAGTATACTGTTAAAAATAGAGTTCGATTAGTAAATTCATTTAAAATCTGTGCAGAATTCATTTTTGATGTTATGCAGGATAACTTTAGTATATTATATGATTTCGTCAAAACTCCTGTGTTAATTAACACGTATGATGAAAAGCTCATGGTAGGTTTGAGAATACAGTTGAACATAATACTGATTAGACATCAACGTCAATGATATCAGACACCAGTGCAATCACACTTCAGTAAGAGGCCGATCTGAATTACATCAATCATTATCCCAATATCCATCAAGACACTTGGTGATATTCTTTACAAAGAAGCCATTATTTCTGTTAAAATATTAAATTTGACGAGGTTATCAAGGACGAATGTCTACAGTTTGGTAACTATAATGTCTATGCTGCATGTGCACAGAAACATGATTTTGTCTACGAATTAAAAGGAGTTGCGTATTCGTATGATTTAAAGATTTTGTGATCACTTAAAATCAGTTAGACCTTTCGAGACAAGTTGAATTTTAGCTTATTTTCTATGTCCTTGTAAAGTTCTACTTGAGTTTTGCTGACTGTGAGAGCTTAGCTAGCAAACTCTCAAGTACAGAAAGTTGATAACACTTCATTAAAAAGATTTTCAGAATGTTTTTTTGTTTGTAACATTTAACACTTTCTTTATGAAGGATTTGATTCTTAATCAATCTATACAGAAATTTCCGATATAGAAAGCTTTTAAAAAATATCAAGTTTAAACCACTTTGATAAAATTGCTTTCTACAAATCGTTGTCGGAAGTAGACGTTTTCGTCTTCCTGACAGATATCATCTGTGGCCATCATTTAACCGAGAAAACAGCTTATTTAGAACAATCTTTTTGTAGTATATTTCGCGCCACTAGAGCCATCCTTTCGTATATTATCCAGTCTTCCGGCACTGTTGAAAACGCTATATTATTACGAGCTCTGTATTTTGTAGGCTTTCGTTTTGACTTTTTTTCAGCATGCCAAATAAATAAAAATTCCAGGAAGGGAGTTCTCTAGTGATTTTAAAAAGGATGTGGTTTTCGTTCTTCTACCTTTTTATATGGGCCGTGGGGGTTTGAATTTCTAAACTTTGAACTGCTGGCAGTGATGTGTGGTTAAAGACCATATTATAGAAAGGTTTTTTTTTTTTTTTTTTTTTTTTTTTTTTTTTTTTTTTTTTCCTAAGGTATGAAAACGAGGAAACAATGAATCTAAAACAAGGTTTACTAAATGTGGTCGAATTTTCTTTTCTCATCCACTTTTCTAAGTTCGCTTTTATACTCAAAATTTGCTGTAATCATTTCCCGTCTTGTGGTATCTTATCTCCACTACTTGTAACTACTATATCTATGAAAAATTTCAAGCAAAAAAAATTAAAGTTCCAAAATTGAGTTGTGAAAAGTGTTCATACAGTTCATCAGCTGGATTACTGGGTCATCGTTCTTAGATATCTCCAAATGGCAAAGTTTACGAATCGGTCGTACAAAATTTCCTGAAGAGGTTTTTACCTCTGCCACACGTGTAGAACCATCTCTACTTGGAAACAATTTTGTGACTTTGCCTATTGGCCAGTTAAGTCTCTTTCGGTTGTCTAGTTCAATTAGTACTACATCACCCGTCTGGATCACTTGAGCCTTTTCTCTTGATTTTTGAACGAGATTTGCCAAATATTCTTCTCGAAATCTATTTCTCAATTGATCTTTTATATTTTGGCATTTCCGGTATCTTTTTTGAAGTTTCTGGAAATTAATTTTCTCTAGATCAGGTATCCCAATTACTTGGATGTCTTCAATAAAAGATAATGGTGTCAAAGGAATAAATTTATCAGATTCTTCTGAAATATATGTAAGAGGTCGATCATTCATTACAGCTTCAACTTCACATAATATCGTTGAAAGGTCTTCAAAATTGAGTGATGATCTACCAAGTGTTCTTAGAAGAAGATTTTTTACACTGCGAATGAGCCGTTTAGCGGAAATAATCCAATAATTTTCTCGCAGGATGGAACCAACAGTCTGGAGACCAGCATGGCAGTTCTTTAAATGGCAATCTGGTATTAAACAATTTACTACATGATGTTTTGATGGCAACAAAATTGGATATTTGAACGAAAATTCGTCATCACGTTCTAACAACTTGGTTTTCACTCGTATTATGTTATTTTGATCTTTCACAACAGCAAGACCTTTGACCTTTGGACCTGAGACATCACCAAAATTTTCTAACTGAATTGACCAAAGGAACTTCTCTGCCTCTTTCTTTTCTTTGATCGAGAGCTCAGATGGGTAAAAATAATTTCTATTTCTACATTTGTATATGAACCTTTTTATCCAACAAACAATATTTACAAATCTGCAAAATTTCGAAATTCTCTCATAATTCATGAATTGATCTATTTTTGCACAGGTAAATAATGATATTGCAGTTTTCTTTCTTTCTGACATAACTAAATCTTCATTAGGAACCTGTTCCGATTTGGGCCAATTATTTTCTTCGTCTTTTAACCATTTTGCTCCCTTCCACCATCTCGTCTCGATAAGATGTCTTGGACTACAACCACGAGAGGGCAGGTCCGCCGGATTTAGATTACCTGGGACAAGATACCATTGGTATGATTCTATGAGTTTGCATATTTCTCTGATTCTGTTACCCACAAAAGTACCCCATTGGTAATTTCTTCGTATCCATGCTATAACCGTTGAAGAGTCCGTCCAGTAATAAACTGGTATTGTAGGGACATCCAGAGCCTCACGAATATAGTTTGCTAATCTGGCTCCCAAAACACAAGCAAGAAGTTCTAGACGCGGGATTGTCAGTCTTTTTTGGCTCAACTCGAGATTTTGCTCCTAGCAGCTGTACCGAAATCATATTATTATCTTCACAGCGCAGGAAAATTACTGTTGCAAATGCATTCTGACTCGCGTCGCAAAAAACATGTATAGACCATTTTTCTTTATTTCCGTAACCTATGCGTCTGTTTAACCTTCAAGTTAGATAATTGTTTCAATTCACTATACCATTTCTGAAAGTCCTTTTGGATCTTCTCTGGAAGCGAGGAATCCCATTCTGACTTAGCTGACCAGGCCTCCTGAATCATTAGCTTGGCTGGCAACAATGCTGGGATGAGAAAAGCGATGGGATCGTAAATATCTTGTGTTATAGACAAGAGCTTCCGTTTAGTAGGATTTTCTGTTTCAGCGTCAAATTCATCGCAGATTATTAAACAATCCTCCTTTCTATCCCATCTAATCCCCAAAACCGAAACTGGAGTTGTAAGATCTTCTTTAAACAAACTTCTGTCCTCAGTTGACAACTTTTCTATTTCTTCTACCGGACCGAACTGCCATAATCTCAAATCCATCTTAGCTTCAGCCATAACTTCAATTGACTTTGAGATACATTCTTCTAATTCAGATGCACTGTCTACGGAGTTTACGCAGTTGTCCATAAGAGGATTCAAGAGTTTGTCAGTAACTGTTTTGAGTTGTTTTGGATACTTGTTCAAATGGTATCTTATAACCGCGCTGAGAAAAAAGGGCTACATGTACGCTCCAAATAACACTCTGTTATGTTGATAGATTTAATTTTATTTTCCTTCTCCCACCACAAAAATCGCAAAATCGGCGATCTTCTTCCTTAACTTCAATTGGGAGGAAGGCTCTTCTGATGTCGGATACACGCAATAGCCTTTTCTCGGAATCTCAATAATATAGCGGGAATTTCTTCTATCAAGTTTGGTCCTTTGAAGAGACAATCATTTAGGGATGGTGCTCTTCCAACTTTGCACAAGGCGTCAAAAACTGGTCTGATAGACGTAGTAGTACTCTCTGGCTTAATAACTGGATGGTGACACAAGTAATGGCCTCCTACTTCTTCTAGTTCCTTTTTTGAGACTTCCTGTATGACATTATCTTTTTGCCATTCTTTAAAGACTAGGTCATAATCTTCGAATTTACTTAACTTCTTCAGTCTTCTTGTAGTGCTAAACAACCTTCTTTCTGCTTCATTTCTATTTGAAGGAATGTTTGCGTTAATACAAGTCCATGGAATGCGTGGAATGTTCCCACATATCTTTTCTTGGTCAAGGAATTCGGTTGTAAGAACTGATTTTTGAGCATTACCCGGTACACTTAATTTAATTTTATATTTACTATGAGGTTTAGCTTTTATTTCTGCACCTCCAAATACCGTGTGCGTAATGGTTGCTGTAGCGAGAGGCTTAAGACCAAGTTCTTTCGCGGTGCTGTTTAAAATATAACTCCTTTGGGATCCATTGTTTAATAGTGCCCTAATCTTCTTAATTTTATTATTACCCTTAATTAGTATTTCTAGTGTCATGAGAGCTACTTCTTTTGAACACTGCTGATTTGCATGTGTGTTCTGGATATTCGCTAGGGGTTTACTTTTATCACTAATTTCTTTCGTTTTACCTATCTCAGGACATAAAAGCTCTGTATGAGGTTTTGAGCGGACATGACAGCGTACAAAAACTTTACACATTTTGGCACGGTGGCCAAAGCGTAAACATTTCAGACGACAGATCTTTTCCCTGACTTTCTTTATTTTTTCTTCCAGAGAGAACGATTTGGCGACTATGCAGTCCTTACTTTCATGCAACTTACCACAGAACAAACACGACATTTCTTTAGCAGCGAATAAACCAGCTGCAGTAGGGTACTTGTTATCCCTTTTCCGTATTTTCTCTTTTAGACTCTCTTTTGGGATAATATTTTCAAAGCCTGACCTGGCTAATTGTAATCTTTCCTCACCCACTACCTCCCTCTTCAAAAAGATCATTAACAACGTTAAACTCGACTTCGGAAAACTCGCTTCACTACCAGAATCTTCCTTTCCCCTAATATTGCATCTCTGCCATGCTCTTAAAATATCATCAGCTAAGCAGGATTCTATCATGGGGTATAGCCAGGCTGAATTACTTTCTATATCAAGCCCCATGGATTCTATAGACCTTAAATGTGCTTCTACCTTAGTAAATAAGTCACACAATGATAATCTGTCTTTACCCGTAGCTTGAATATTTGCTGTAATTAATTTCGAAAATTCCCCGACATACACTTCGATAAGAATTTCTTTATCCCCATAACGATCTTGAAAAGCTCTCAAAGCTTTCGAATAATTTTCTGAAGTTATCGGGTAACTTTCTAATAAATGCCTAGCACGAGTTCCATAACGACAGGTTCTACAGCTTGTAGCAAATATTGGAACTTATCGCAATCATCTAATTCTTTATCTTCATGTATCTTCTTAAACTGTGCCCAAAATGGCAAATAATTAATTAACTGAGAAGCAAAGGGTTTTATATTCAATTTAGGTAACTTATACCGTTTGACTTTAGAGTTACTATTGACATCAGAATTACTAAAAACTGCGTCATTTGGAACTTTCTTTACATTTAGTAATTCACTAACTTTTCTTTTAATTGTGATGAATTCATCAGAATATTCCTCACAGCTTATAACTTCGGTTTCTAAATCATCTTCAGAGTCACTGCCCTTAATTAATAAATCTAGTACCTCTGAATCATAAGATTTTAACTCAGCAGTTATCGTTTGTAACTTCACAATTTTATCTTTTAATACAGCTTTATCTGCTTGAGCATTTTTACTAATTTCGTTCTTTAGAACCTTAACCGTTCTAGTGAAAGCACTGCGTGCCGTTGCACGTTTTTTCTTTATCATATCAACATTCATTTTTACTTTAAACTCCACTCAAATATTTTATTTAAAATTTTAAAGTAATCCTTTTACCGTAATCTTATTTCCTCAATCCTTAATTGGATTCTTACACATTAATTTGTTTTTACGTTGAAATTACTTTTATTCAAAAACATAAAGCTTATAATATATATGTGGTATCTGTAAGGGCGACCCAACTACCGGAGGGCCTCACCGATGCGCCAGCAGCGAGGTGAAAGAGAAGTATGGCAGAGACTTTCTTCTGCTATCCCACGCGAAAGTGGTGAGATGCCTGTCTATACGTGAAGGTGTAGAATAAGGAACTGTAGTTTTCCACGCGAAGGTGGTAAATTGACTGTATAATACATCAGCAAGTGCGAGTAGGCACTAATCGGTTAAGTGATAAGACTGGCAAAAGCTATACAGAATCCTGTTTATATCAAACGGCACTTGTATTTAATCTAATTTATACCTTTTCTGATTATCTTTATTAAATGTTCTGTGGTGTGGAAAACAACGTTGGAAGTGTTATTTAGCATCTTCAACGCCCCTACTACGTATATTTTAAGTTGAAAATACTAAATATCTATTTCTATTCAACTTAAACATAAACATGCTTTCATTCAACAAAAATGCATCTTCAAAATATAAACATATTTCAAGTACTTCCGTTTTCGGAAGCATAAGTAACTAGTTCTTCTTTAGGACAACACGTCCTGATGGCGGACGCCAAAAACTTTATTATATTACGTAATTAATCAACTACTGTTGATCGAAGTTGTCAGAATCCACTGACGTATGCAGGTTCTATTTATATTGATAAAAAAAAAATCAAGAACTAAATTAATTTACCTTTTCTGATGCATCGTTGAATCTGACGTGATGTTTCAGCTGGCAATCTTCTAGAAAAACCACAATTGAATTTTTTGACATCACATTTTATTTACATAAAACATTTCAAAGGAAAAAATTAATATTTAAATACATTTTCTTGTACAGCCTCTCTTTTTCTCTTTTGGCTGTACGAAACAAGTTATCCGTCCATCACACGGATTCGAAACCGAACTATCTACTGTTTACAAAAAAAAAAAAAAAAAAAAAAAAAAAGAATAAAAAAACAAGGTTTTAATTTCTCTCACTAATGAAACCTCTGGCACCCTCTAGCGGGAGAAAGCCACTTTAGATGAACACTTAACAGCTTGTTTACAGTTAACCAGTGCCTCGCTGTACCCAGCGACGGTTTTTATTATATTTTCCGTGCTCATCTTCTGATTCCTCTGGAATTATTACATTAAAAACATCTTTTTCTGGAACTCTACGGATTTCTACAGATGAAATTCTACAGATTTCATCGTTCTTATTCTCATCGGTATTTGTGTTTTTCCTGACGTATGTTTTAAAACTAATGGAAACCAAAAATAATTTCAGAGAACATCGATGCTCTTACTTCTTCCTCGATAGAATCTTCCCTCTTTACAAGAACGATTTTTCTTGTCATAAATTAATTTTAACTTCATTTTGACCCTTATCAGTGATAAGATTTGCTCATCAAGAATCGCTGTGTCTTTCGCCTTCATCAAATTCTAATATTACAGCGTTTTGGAACGATTATTGCTTCAAATGGCTAGACACTTGCGACTTAATTCATTCGGTCCGTAAAGATCAATATCTATCGATCATTTAGCCGTTTCGTCACCCAAGTCTAATCACAACATTGCTTAAGGTACATCGCAAAGAATGCAGATTTTACCCACACGAAAATGTGGAAGTTCCATCCCAATTTTGAACGAAAACTACCCGTGAGACGAAGTCGTGATTTCAAGATTAATGAATATTTCACAAATTGGCAACTAGGAGTTTGATATTACACTAGGACTTAAACTATCGCTAAAATTGCGTTACAATTAAAACACTGTGATTTAAACTAATTTAAAATTTAATTTCAAGAAACATTCGCATTTATATTACAGATATTTATGTTCCACCTTCTTAAGCAAACTGTATGAAATAAATTTACTGCTTCCTGTGACTCAGTTGCGTTTCCTTTATAATAAAAAAATCTGATGTGTACACCACATGACTTCCTTGTACGGAATATTAAATTATACGCATTTTTTCTTGCATTTCATTTAAACTTATTAGATTGAATTAATCGCCGACAGCGCATAAACCACAATAGAATAAATGCATTCTTTAAAATTCACTTTGTTTACCATAGCGACATTCTGGCGCTAGATTTACTTAACAGTATTATATTTCGTCCATATTATAAGTTCCAAGTTACACTTATGGCGAGATTATCAAGCATTCTGCTTGATATGTTCCGGCTGTCATCAGATGTTTGCTCTTTGAGCGCTGAAAAGAGAATAAGTTCGAAGTGTGAGTCCGGTAGGAGCTAATGGCTAAGGGGCGTGATCACGTGGGCTGCAAGGTGACTTATCATTGGTTGCGAGTCTTCTGAGGAATACCTCCCTAAAATTGCAATTAAATACAGTAAAAAACATATATGAAAGTAGAAATAGTAAAATTAATTATATAAATCAGTCTTCTAAATTATTTACATATGCATATTAGTCCAAGTACGTCAGTAGATAAACACAAGGCACGGGAAGAAGAGTTCGTAAACTAAGATGAAGCTCAGACGCTTGCTGCTTGAGTTTGGTGTCACTGAAAGTAGATACTATCGAGATTCATATTATAACTCAGAATGCACAAAATTTATATCATTTAAAGAATTATCTAATTGTTGCCA